ATAATATTCTTGTATTATCATCTCATTCAATCAATTTATAATCAATATAACTTCAAATAAACAAATTTAATGAAACTAACAAAATATAATTCATTTCAAACATTAAATAGTCTAATAATATTTAATACATCATTTATACATTAAACTATATATTGAATCCAAATATTACATTAATGTACATACACTATTGAATTGTAGCCAAGTTTCTACTAACACTTAAAATAAAAGAAGCTCAGTTCCTTTCTTCAGTGTCTACAGCTTTCATGGAAGATGAATCTACAAATAAAATAATAAAGTTAAAACAATATTGTAATGAATAGTTGAATAAATATTTAATTAATATTTTAATACCTTATTCCATGATTTAGTAATGTTTGTACAAATAATGGTATGCATGTGTTTCATTACATAATACCCACACTCATAGCTGCCGAATTGACGTTAACACTGCAAATTAAATACAAATAATCAAGACTCATTCAAACCAAGAATACAAAATATCAGATTATACTCTAGCTAGCCTTTTCACATGTAACTTTGTATATTTTGCTAAACCAAATTTCACAAAACCAACAACACAGCCAATTCCTCGTAAAAATAACAATCACAAAACACAAAACAAAGAAAAGTCAAATTCTCTTACATTAGGTGTGATTATTTGCATCTTCTTCCTAGAACCATATGGAACACCCCGCAACCTTGAATTAAAGTGGTCAATTGAAGCAGAAAAAGAAGGGTGCAAACTGAGTGGCTTCTGGTCCAACAGTCACTCATTCTTTTCATCATTCTACCTTATGTCATGCTTCAATGTTCATTCTATAATCATCAACGTCACATTTGATAAAAGATGTTACTGTTGCAAATTTCTTCTCAAACTGTTGATATTTTAACATTTAGGGANAAGGATAAGATGGAAATGTCTGCCATGTTTTTTTTTTTTGAACTTTCATATTTTTTTTCCAAATTTTATGATTTATTCTTGGTAAATAACTAATTTTGAGAGGTTGTAACCATTTTAATATGAAAACTTTTATATAATATTGCTAATCAGGGAAACATCCCATGATATCCACCGTTCTGGTAAGTAGTTTCAATGATAACGAGCATGTCTCTAGAAAATAATCTTAAATTTTGTTTTAGTTCATACATGCAAGTCATGATTTCTCACATGTAATTAATACAACATTTTCAAATGTTCACATTATTTATCAATAATAAATCTTAACTTGACTAAAGCTTATTATTTGTCTAAGATTTATTCAGTCAAAAGATTAATGTAGTCAATAACTGGACTTCTTTTTGTAATATCAAAACTAGAATTGACAACTTATTCCCCCAAGACTTTAATCAATGTCTTAATATTAACATATTTAAAATTTTACAGGCACATATTATCGTTTGCATGATAACTTTTCTTTTGTAATACAAACGTTATGAAACTTATATAAACCTATCATTAGCACATTATGGTGTTTCGTATAATCGAGAGAACTCGCATACCAATCTTAAAAAGATTGGCTAACTCTTATGTAATTTAGCATGCAGCAGTGCCATGGACGGACTTTCATAATATATTACAAACAAATAAAATCAAACTCATAATTTTTATGATATAATGTTACTACAAAACAACCATATATGATAAAAATAAAGTAATCGTATGCCAAAAAGAGTAACTTCACATCCTTAATATCCCTCTTTGTAACTTTTTGTACACACTGTAAAATTAAGACATATCATTAAATTTCAAACACATCAGTCAAGTTGTTTCAGCTTCCTTCCATAACATTTATAAGTGTTGTTTGGTGAATTTGAAAGGAATGAGAGGAGAGATTTTGAGTTCAACTTTTTCACTGATAAAATACTAACAATTAATATTTGTTGATATTTTTTTTTTCTCTTTTTATATACTGGGATATTTTCTGCGTTATGATTGTATTTTTTTTTCTTTATGTGTATAAACGTCAATTACCTTTAGGTGGCAATAGATTATTTTCCAAAGCAATATCATGTAGCGCAATCGTCCAACTTTTGCTTCTTGTTTTTCTACCTGTAACCCATGTTTTGGTCTAATCTGAGACAAAATCAAAACCAACTAAATTCCATTCAGATTCCGCATGACCAGGTCCTTCAGTTCAGGTTGCAATCTTGGGCATTTCGGCTTCGTTTCAGTGCCTCAGATCCAATTTTCTTTAACCCATATGATTGTAAAAATAAAATATTAAAGTATTCTTTAAAATTGTAGAAGTTGAACGTTTTAGATTTTAACACTTCAAAACATTTTGCTAATTGTATTTTAATTGCTTAAAAAATATTTCAGTTTCTTTAATTTTTTTCGCTATATATCATAAAAAATAAACAAAGTTTTGTAAAGTCCTTTAGAAAAAAAGAAGGTTTTCTAAAGTTAAGTTGTAACTAAAACTCTTTTGCCTAAAATCACTAACTGAGCTCTAGATGATTTCGAAAGTTTGAATTTTTCACCCATATATTTGAAAATACAGCTAACAACCCTTATCAGCAATACTATAGAAATATATTTTCTTCTACAAATTCAACATTCTGTTTTCATAAATAATAAGACGAAACTTCCATAATGAAGAATAAATTTAGCATCGACGAGGAATAATCAAGAATTAATTCAAGATCCACCTTTAAATGTCATTCTAATGCCTAAGTGAATAAGTAAATAAGAGAATAATTACTGGATTATTATAAATATTGAATTTAAGTTGCAATGAGTTTTTCCCTTATGAATTTAGAATGTCAAAACGGGTAACCCGGCTCGACCCGATCCGGTCCGGCTCACCACAAATTGGTCACTTAGTGAGTCAATCGAACCCGACTCACTTATTAGCAACTTGAAAAAATTCGAACTCGGTCCGACTCACCACGGGTTGGTGGGCTAAACGGGTTGGTTCACTTGCTCATTTAATTATAAACTTTTTTAAATAAAAAAATACAATTTATTTTAATTCAAATCTAAATAAACTTCACAATAAAGTGATGTTAAACTCCAAACACAAATCAAAATATATAAAAAAGTATCATATGCGTGATCCAAAAACATGTAACAGATAAGATTTTAATATTGATAAATTTTATATCACTTGTTCATTTATAATATTAGAATCTTGAATAGATAAATGTTTTCTCTCTTGAAACATATTTTTTATAACCATCTATAATATAATAAAAAATATGTTAACTAATAATATTGAAACACAAAATAATAAATAATTAAATTAAATTAGGTGGGTTGGTAAGCCAACCCGGCTCACCACGAGTTCAACCCAGTGAGCCGGGTTCTAAGTGAGTCAGGTTAAAAACTAGTCTGCATAAAAAAATTACATTTTTTTCAAACCCAACCCGGCTCAAACTCGCGGTGAACCTTGTTGGCTCGCAGATTACAATCCATTTTGACAACACTAAAATATATGGTGATGGGTCTATCTAGGAAAAAATTTATTGAAAAGACATAATACTTATAAAATCTGAACTTAGTTTACATAAGAAATTGACTTCATATTCAACTCAAAATTCTACGAGTTTATATTCTTATATAATGCTTAAATTTATCATTTTTATTCAATGCGAAACTTAGACTTATCTTTACATTCTTAACAAATATATAATAATATATGTTTGGTATTATCTTATATATTAGATTAATGATAAAATCTTATTAAATTTTATGATATCATCGTAACTAGATATTATGTCAGAGATTTAAAAGATAATACTCAAATTATAAGGTTTTATCCATAACTAATTACTAATATGTTGAAAATAATTATTTACTAGTGCAAGTTTGATGCAGTGATACATGTTTAATCAAACAATTAGTATTAGAGTCAAAGTCACAAGTTTTATTTCCATCAATGTCAAAACTATCCTACCTCTAAATAAAAAAAATTTACTTATAAGTTCATGGTACAATATCTAAAACTCATCGATTGTTAAAATGAACAATTATCAATCATCATATAAAGAGATGAAAAAAAAATGACGAGAACACGCGCTCATAACAATAAGTGCACAGCTAAACTTTACAGCTTAGAAACAAAATATTGTATCTTAAAAATAATGATTGTCTTGAGACAATGGAAAGAAAGATAGTAAAATACATGTAGATAATGCTTAGATGCAACAGTAATTGAGTTCAAGACTTACTAAAGATCCTCCTATTATTCCAGTCATGTTGTCATGGTAAATACATCAAGGTTGTAAATGAAAAATGTGTATAAACTACATTGATGTCAACAGAGACATGTATCACCGACTTATATGTTTGTTAAACATAGACCATTTTGGTGAATATTTTATTCATCTTTGATATAATTATATTTTTAGATGCATATTCACTTGATAAAGATAAAACAACCCAGAACAAATTTAGTAGAAAAATGATATTTTATAACGTACAAAAATGATATTTTATGATGTAGAGTCATGATATGTTTAAACATATTATAACGAAGTTTCATTTATCCGCGGAAGGTATAATGACGAACGTAGATATTTTTGTACGTTATAATATATGATCAACAATATATGATCAACGTATAATGACGTACATTTTTTAGTACGTCATAATATATGTTTTTTTTAAAAAAAATTGATTATTACATTTGACATCTAACGAAATTATAATAATATTCTTGTATTATCATCTCATTCAATCAATTTATAATCAATATAACTTCAAATAAACAAATTTAATGAAACTAACAAAATATAATTCATTTCAAACATTAAATAGTCTAATAATATTTAATACATCATTTATACATTAAACTATATATTGAATCCAAATATTACATTAATGTACATACACTATTGAATTGTAGCCAAGTTTCTACTAACACTTAAAATAAAAGAAGCTCAGTTCCTTTCTTCAGTGTCTACAGCTTTCATGGAAGATGAATCTACAAATAAAATAATAAAGTTAAAACAATATTGTAATGAATAGTTGAATAAATATTTAATTAATATTTTAATACCTTATTCCATGATTTAGTAATGTTTGTACAAATAATGGTATGCATGTGTTTCATTACATAATACCCACACTCATAGCTGCCGAATTGACGTTAACACTGCAAATTAAATACAAATAATCAAGACTCATTCAAACCAAGAATACAAAATATCAGATTATACTCTAGCTAGCCTTTTCACATGTAACTTTGTATATTTTGCTAAACCAAATTTCACAAAACCAACAACACAGCCAATTCCTCGTAAAAATAACAATCACAAAACACAAAACAAAGAAAAGTCAAATTCTCTTACATTAGGTGTGATTATTTGCATCTTCTTCCTAGAACCATATGGAACACCCCGCAACCTTGAATTAAAGTGGTCAATTGAAGCAGAAAAAGAAGGGTGCAAACTGAGTGGCTTCTGGTCCAACAGTCACTCATTCTTTTCATCATTCTACCTTATGTCATGCTTCAATGTTCATTCTATAATCATCAACGTCACATTTGATAAAAGATGTTACTGTTGCAAATTTCTTCTCAAACTGTTGATATTTTAACATTTAGGGATCGTCCAATTTAGAATAAGGACATTGTGGCAAGCCAGATACACGTGACTATTCCATCAATATACCTTTAAGAGGTTTTGGATCAATGCAAACATTTCTTAATTTTCAAAATTCAAAGAAAACTGAAACGGAATCAATAGGTGCCTTTCATCCATAATTAAAAGCAAATTATAATATCAAGTTAATATAAGAGAACCACTTACAGGTGTCCAGAAGCAATTGAAAAGATGTTAATAGTTTTTCCACGACGTCCACCCTTTGCTTTGTCCTACGATGCAAAAAGTCAGTCAAACTCTGGGAGTAATGGAATAAGTAGAAGCCGAAAGTGCAAAAGGGAAGGCAATCAGAAAGTTAAAAAATACTTCGAAATTTACCATGTATGTTGATGATATATGCAATTGATTGGACACATTAGCAAGGCTATTAGCAGTGACGGGATGGGGACATCCAAAAAACATGTAAGGGATGACTTAATAAACAAACATGTAAGGGATGACTCAATAAACAAACATTAACATATTTATCAAGAATTTCGATATTTTCTCATTCTATATAGGAATAAATTAAAGAAATAAGACTTTTGAAATTGAGGAATAAACTATAAAAATAAATTAACTATTAATTTCATCCGATCTATCAAAATTTAAATGAACAAACTTCAGACTTAAAAGTTTTTGTAATAACTAGAAAAGTATTGAATCACAAATACAACACAGATCAGATCAAATTTTTACTCAAATGCCTTAAATTGGTAAACAATCAGGAGCATGTTAGTTTGTCTAAATATACATTAATGCCTCAATCAGTAACTACATTTTCCGAATGAAGTTTATTGTCTAATAAGTAAACTAAATATTCTAGAAAACTCACCAAATAATAACTAAATCTTTATGCCACCAAGTGAGGTTATTAGAATCAATTAATGCCTTTGGGCATAAAAATGCAAGTGTAGTGTTACCTACTCTGTAAATGTAAGTTATGAATGATATGTAAATAACCATTAAATAACCATTCAGTCTTTGTTATTAAATAACAACATTAAAAACTAAGATAAAATAAGATAAAAGAAAAACTAAAGTAGAAAGTATAACGAAGTGCTGAAGAAAACTCAGATGTTGGTTTGACCGAACACTAGTATCTTCTGCACTGAGATTTGAACGAGAGAAGAAATCATTTTTTTTATTTTCACATCCATTGCCCTATGATCGCGGTCAACCATTCTTATTTTATATATTTAGATTTCAATACTTGTCAGCTTCAACTATTATTTATTGCTTTATTTTTATGTATTATAGTAGTTGTCACTAATAATACAAATTAAAATATAGGAATCAAGTAACAAAATGATGTGTGGCATTATCTTATCTTCCAATAATGTCTCGTGGTCTCTCGTAGTGTTACAGAGACACCCACAGAGTTGAGTGATGGTGAGCCAAAATTTACGAAGATAATTGCTCCCCTAAAAAGTTTCCTTTTTTCAAAATTCAAATAATAAAATTATTAAAAAGTTGAGATAAACCACGATAGCAGTAGAACATGAATTAGAACTTCAGCATGCACATTATCAAGAGGAAAAGTATGTTCCCCCGACTTTCTTTCATCTCTTCTATCTTAAAGGTCCACCAAATAGTTGAAAAACCAAATCAAGTGCATGGAAAAAGTCTTACACTCTCTCCTCCAGGAGCTTAAAAGACCAAAGACAAAAAGAATATATTTTGAAGCTTTACTTACAACATAAGAATACCAGATTACCAGGAGGCCCTACTACAATATATATATCTCTCTATATAATACTATATCTATATCTATATATATCTCGTATTAATTAATATATTGATATCTACTTCAGGCTCTTTCTCCAAAGTATTTTTATACCTTCTCTTCCCCGATTTTGTTGCTGTTGGCAACACAACACAAAAAAGCCGTCAAGATCCGAAGGTATTGACGGCGGATTTTCCCCAGCTACCACGCCCGCTTACATAGGTAAATGTCCAGACATCAGACAAAACTATAGGTTATACTCTGTTTCCTATTGTCGGAGAATTGTATCGTGCACAGAGTCTCGATGACTTCACATGGTCCCAACGTCAAGACCCATAGAGACGACCGATTCCTCTACCCCAAGTGCATGCTTTGGTAGAGTGTTTGAAAGGCGCTGGCAGGCACCAGGCAATAGACGCCATGATGAAACCAAGTGGATCATCCGCAAAGTAATCACTTTGCAAAACAGACAAGAGGCACAGACAAATAAAGCAGAACTAAAAATTTGTCTTAAACAGCTTCATAGTCCCAGCAGTAGCAGTAGGAGCCATTTGCATTGAGAACGTGATGAGAGAACTTTCCCATCTTCTCCCTCGGGAAGTTACCACTAGTGACCAACTTAGTTTCAGACAGCAAACCGAAGAGACCAAGGTTTTACCAACACACCAATAAAAGACACATTTTGATATCCATACTTAAATCCTAACTAATACTTCGCAAGTCACCCTAGCCAATGAACCACTCAAACGATTAGAATAGAAACTAAGGCTATTCCGTATCGCACCAACCCATCCAAGTCTATTGTAACAAGCTAGGTCAGTAAGTCGATGATATAGCGTCCAACGACATCTCCATAGCAAAACACTGGAATGGGCCTTAACAGGGGCCAAACCATAAAAGGAGAAAATTATGGTTTCCGCTGTCTGCACGAAAATCTCAATCTAACCTCGGTGAACCGGGTAACGGCTCTGTGACGTGCGAGTTTAGAATCCAATCCGCCACGTGAATGATCTTCGCGAAATATGCAAGTAAATGACGAGCGCGGTGCCATAGCCCGTCAGCAGAGGCCGACGGGGCAGGAGGAACCACTCGAAGCGGGCGCACATGCGAAGATCTTCGAAATAATCGCCCAGGCGACGTTCGTCCCCCACCACCACACCCTCTTGAGGTCATCCTGCCTCGCCTTTCGCTTTGGCTGGGGGGGCCCTCTCTTTGACGTACGTGCCCCTCAAGTCAGAAATGAGGTCGAAGTGAACCCTCTCCCGTTTTCTTTCTCTTGTTAGGGATTGAGAATAACGAAGAGTAAAATTAACGAGACGTTCAATGTGGAATAGGGAAGTAAGGTTAGTTTTTTACCAGCCGTCTAATATTTTTGTTTAACAGAATTTGAAAAAATTTGATCAGGACAGGTTTATTTACATACGTTATAATACCTTTTAACAACAAATTTCGGTTTGTGACAAGGACATGTTAAACAAACAGAGGGTATAACCTGATGTCAGAATACTCTTAATTTTATTACGAAAATTGCCGGACGCGCCCGGCGGGGATTGTGGAGGCGTCATCAACGAACGTATATACAGAAATTTTACTTGTTAGAATACGACTGTCAGAAATCTCTTTTTCTCTACTATCTTGGAGAAGTTAACTTCATTAGGAATCACTTCAACATGTTCGCTAAAAAAACCATACAGCACCGCCGTAAGTCATGCTGTGCAATAAAGAGACCAATAGCGCACGTAGGCCTCACAGCCCTTCCCAATATTTGAAGAATAGCTCAACGACTAAAGAAAACGAAAAATACTTTTACCTCTTTGCTCTTCCTCGTCTGCACAAGTAGTTACGAAGTAAGTCATTTTCAATTACTTGAGCCATCAACAAAATTTGAACAGGGAAATATGTGTATCGCATACCTCCTAGCTTTGAGTTAATTTCTTATCAATATATACGTGTTATAGCTGTAGTTGGATGTATGCTTCGCTCCTCTTGTTATACTTAATGTGTGACCAAGTTTATTGTAACTCAAGCTGTTTTTTAATTCATAAGGGATCTAAAGCCGGATCTTCTATGTAAGCACGTCGCCTCTAAAGTAAAAGAAATGTTAGGAGGTCAATCGAAAAGTAGTCTAACGCTTATACCTTTGACAAACACGTGAAACATATTTCGTAAAGTTTTGTTCCAGGGTACCATAAACCGCTGTCCAATTTAAGTAAAACTTATAAAAAGTGGATCTCAGAAGGACTATCTCTTCGTCTGGAGTTTGAGCAACAATTTGAGAGGTTGAACATTGAAAATATAAACGTTTTACCACCCTATCCTTATCGAGTCAACCCATTCAAGGGATCAACAACACTTTTAATTGGATGAGTATCAACCAGAGAAGAAAAATGAGCTCTTTAGAAGAGTTGATGAAAGACTAAATTCCTACTTTGAAACAACCACTAAAAAATTCTTATAAAAAACCCATTGTTAACAACAAAATAATGACTAATCATGTTTTTGTCCTCTATTAGATGTCTTTTTAAAAAAATTTCCTGGGGAATTATAACGCCGAAGAAAGAAACTTTAATGACTTGTCTCAGTCTCCCCATCTAACAACATGTACCGGTAAAAATACTTTTACCAATCATTATTGATTACACAAAACAAGAATAGGACCACCCAAGTAAAAACTTTTAAAGGTACAATAAGAAAATCATCACTATTAGAATAGCATCACATGCACCTCCTCTACATTCAAAATCAATGATTTTTACTTTTGTTTGCTTTATATAGTAAACAACCACTTTCTTATTTATATTTATATACCGGTTAACCCTCAGTCAATTGGTACTGTTATCTATTTGTTTTATTATTTCACAAGTATAATGTTTTATTTGGCCACCGGAGAACGGGTAAATTATCTATAAGAGGGGTGTTGACAACTTCTTAGGATATACCTCTCATTCTTTTATGAATTAAATTGAAGTTAAGAAGATTAAAAGCGTAAATCCCTAAATGTTATTGTAGATAACGAATCACAAGAATACCAAATCAAACCTTCTTAATGAAAGCCCATATCAGCATGGCAATGGGGTTGGCCGCTGTAGCCCGGGACAGGCGTGGGCTGCATGGGGAATCGAGCCATTAGATGCAAGAAAATATGGGCCGGAATTATTAGACTGGGATGCGGACCGTTTATAGGATTGTTAGTTGGGTGGTTTCATCACTTTCACCAAACTTTTCTGAAATAGAGGGAAATAATCGGCCGCGAGAAATATGATTACCTTTTTTTAATAAAACCACAAGAATAGTGGGACTACATTCTTTCCCAAATGCTCAGTTAAATATCTTGTTTTGTGTGTTATACGTTGTCCTTCAGGATAGATAATTATTTTTTAATGCAAAGATTCGTATTTTATAATATATACTATTGAAGTATTGAACTACTTATGATGAGATATTTTGTTGTAATTTTAATATTTTTTTTAAATTATTTTTAGAATGAATAATACTTAAGCCTACCTAAACAATATTTTTACAATTTTCCCCCCTAGTTGTAAATATTGTGTTTCATAAATAATTAGATTGAAGAAATTCAGCCACTAACACAACTGGAATAATATAATAAAAGCATTTTAAAACATCTCATAATATTTCCAATAATATAATTAAAACTATAAAACGACGATATTAAAATCTAAGAAAATACCTCAGAGTCGTCCAATCCGATTGAACGTCGATGTGGCTCCTTGAGATTTTTCCTATCAGTCTGTTAACATAAACCATACCTTTATTAGTTTGGGAATTTTTTTATTAAATTTGTTAAGTTTGCCAGGATCAGATCAAAATAATACACCATATAAATGCGAACGTTATCTAGTGAGCATGACTGGTTAAATGCGTCTATAATAATTAATAATATAATTATGGTGATATATTACCAAACTTTATTAATTAAAGAGAGGTTGAAATTTGAAAGTCAAGATAAATTCTTGGAGGTGAAGCTGCGTGTTAATTTAATTAGAAATTTTAGTGATGTGTGATGAAGAAATTTGTGGATTGATATTCAAATATTTTGTATATTGTGGGAAGTATTCGATTTTATATGGATTGCCATCTCCATTAAACTAAACATAGGGAACTTAAGAGTAACATTAGATTTGGAGAAATTAATTTCAATAAGTGGTATTGCCTCAATGTAAATTATCTAACACCATTTAAAAGAACTACTTATAGATATAGAAATATTATTTGAAGAATAAAAGTTAAATGATAATTGTCGTTTTTTTTTTTAATTGAAATAACACAGTTGTAACAGTTTTTACATTTGTTTCATTCAAAATTTTTAAACAACAACCCCAATTTAATTTTATTATTTGTGTAGTACGTTTATTTTACACTCTTTTAAAATCGTTTTATTTTTTTTTACATTCTTCTAACTTTTTTTCAATCCACAAACTTCTATGTTTTCCGTTTTTGCGTACCCCCTATATTTTTCAATTACAAAACTTTTCCAAAAAATTTTTTTTATATTTTTATTATTTTTTGATGACGTTGTGTTCTCAGCATGTATTATATACAGAGACGAAACACGGTGTAAGGGGACGACATGAAATGGAGAAATTAATTTCATTCTTGTTCCTCAAAAAATGCTGGTTCCTAAGTGTTGTGTCAGTAACTTCCATAACAATCTAAACTCTAAACTATGGATCATAAATGTTTCGATTCCATACTTATTTTTTAATCACTTTCAATCACTACACGCCAGAATCATATTGGTTATCTACATGAAAACAGGTACTACAATGATTTCTTAAGTATCAATAAGTTCATCAATAAAAAAATCCAGACAGACAATCATCGGAAATAACATCAGAAGAATTTAATTTTGAAAAATTATTTACTTCCACATCTAAGAAGCACAATAAAGAAGAAAGTGACTGATATCCAGGAACAAATAATTACAAATTACTTTGATAAATTAAAATAGATTTTTAAAATTCATAACTCCACATAACTTACCAGAAAAACACAAATGCCCTTACAATAAAAAACTCATCTTCTAATAAAATTTATATATGTTAATTATAGTAGAAAAGGGCATCCTTTCTTATAGGAGAGAACGCCCTCCAATTTCCATCAGTGTTTAATAAATATCTTTAATATCGATAAAATTGTCTATATTCCTCGTATATAATAGTTATGTCCTATATTTAATGAAAAATAAAATTATAAAGAATTGCAAAACTCTGAAGAGTACTATACATTTCTCCTTTTTCAATATTATTTGTTCTTAATGTCAAGATACGCTGTCTTTTAGAGGAAAAAAGATCGAGATCAAAGTTCTTTTAGTGATGTTTCAGTCAGAAGTAGAAACTGCACTAATACTGGAGGGTCGTTGTTGAATTCTGATAAATAGAAAAATCTGTTTCCAAGGGGGCAGGACAAACTAACAATATTTACAACATTATAAACATTATCATTTATCATCAGTTTTTCCTCGCCTTTTTGTGGGTGGGACTTTTTTTCTTCTTTTATCTTTTCTTTAGATTTTGTTCTTTGCTGGTTCTGGTACACACAACACGCTGAAATCTTCTTAATACCAGGATATGGTGTTCGTTGATAAGTATTAATTGGTAATGTTATCCCTAATTTATCATTAACTGATGTAAAAAATATTCTGACAAATAACTAAATGAATAAAATTAAAAAATAACCAACATTGATAAATCTGATTCACGTAATGGGTCCTCGTAAGTTAAGCGCCATGATAACCAGAGTTAGTAACTATTGGGAAGATATTAGTGACACAAGTTATTGGTGAAAGGGCGCATTTCAATTAATATTGAAAGAACGACTACTTTAATTTAGTAACGAAACATTCGTTTTTTCAAATACATATTTTTATTTCGCTAACAACGCATAAAAAGTTTGGTGATTTGGTTAAAGAACGTAATTACACTATTTCTAAATTTTCATAATGTTTGTGTGATCATGAATTCTTACAAATT